TTGAGAAATGCTGAGCGTGTTCTTCCTTTTTGGTTTCCTGATTCCAGATCTTTGCACGTTTTGTTGTAATATTTGGCTTTATCTTCTCGAGCTGATCTTTGAAATTTTCTGTTCAGCTCTTGGACCTCCTTATTTCTTCATTTGCTTTAGCTAGCATCTCTATGCTGGAGAGCAAGTTTCAGTGTCTCTTCTGATATCCATTTTGACCTTTTTCTTCCTTCTTATCTTCTGGTTACGAATCGGGCTGCGAACCTTAAGGTCAGCGGTTCGAAATTACCAGCCGCTCTGCAGGAGAAAGATGAGGCTTTCTACTCCCATAAAGATTTACACCCTCGGAAACCCTGTACAGGGTCACTATGAGCTGGACCCGACTCAACGGCACTTAACAACAACAACAACATCTTCTTAATGACTTTTTGCTTTCTTCATGTATGATATTCTTGATGTTATCCCACAATTCTTCCAGGTCTTCAGTCTTTAGTGTTTAATGTATCAAATCTGTTCTTTAGATGATCTCTAAATTCAGGTGGGATATAGTCAAGGTCATATTTTGGCTCTCGTGGACTTGTTTTCATTTTTTTTAGCTTCAGTTTGAATTTGTGTATGAGTAATTGATGGTCTGTTCCACAGTCTGCCCCTGGCCTTGCTTTCACTGATGATATGGAGCGTTTCCATCATCTCTCTCTGCAGATATAGTCAACTTGATTTCTATGTATTCCATCTGGTTAGGTTCATGTATACAGTCTTCTCTTACGCTGTCTAAAGAAGGTATTTAAAATGAACAAATCATTGATTTTGCAGAATTCTATCATGCGTTCTCCAACATCATTTCTACCACCAAGGCCATATTTTACAACTACTGATCCTTCCTCTTTGTTCCCAACCTTTGTATTCCAATCACTAGTAATGACCAATACATTTTGATTGCATGTTTGATATATTTCAGATTGGCTTTAATGGTTGGTGCGTAAATTTGAATAATAGTGGTATTAATTGAGCTTCCCTGTATACCTATGGATATTATCCTATCACAGCCAGCCTTGTACCTCATGACTGATCTGGATATGTTCTTTGTGATAACGAATGCAACACCATTCCTCTTCAGTTAGTCATTTTGACATAGTAAACCATATGGATATCAGATTCAAAATGGCCAATACCAGTCCATTTCAGCTCATTAATGCCTAAGATGTCAATGTTTATGCGTTCCATTTCATTTTTGACAACTTCCAATTTTCCTAGATTCATACTTCGTACATTCTATGTTCTGATTTTCAATGGGTGTTTACAGCTGTTTCTCTTCATTCTGAGATGTGCCTGATCAGCAAATGAAGGTCCTGTAGGCTTTTCTCCCATGGATGGTACTCCCTTTGTGTCATCATGGTCAACTCTGCTTTGAGGAGGCAGCTCTTCCCCAGTTGCATTTTGAGTGCCTTCCAACCTGAGGGGCTCATTTTCTGGCACTGTATCTAACAGTGTTGCTGTGCTATTCATAAGGTTTTCAGTGACTAAATATTCAGAGTAGTTCATCACTCCTTCTTCCTAGTCTGTCTTTGTCTGGAAGTTCATCTGAAACCTGTCCACTGTGGGTGACCCTGCTGGTATTTGAAATACCGGTGGCATAGCTTTCAGAATCACAGCAACTCATAAGCCACCACAGTACGACAAACTGAGAGACAAGTGGGGATTACCTGTATTAAATTCTTCATTTTGACAATTACTGTTGTCATTGTCCCGCTGATGAATCTGTAAGATGTTTTGTAAATTTATTTCTGAATAAATTTCTTCCGTAGTTACTAGAATCTTGTGATACAAGGATGACAAAGATATGAGTACGTAGAGCTTGAAATTATATTGTTGTTGTTTAAAGAAAAATCTTTTGATTCTGACTTTATAATAAAATCTTGAAATTCGTTCAGAAAGTAGTATATCCAGTTATCTTTTCATATTAGTCTATCTTTGTTCTTTAACCTCAATGATGAAAATTTCAATGCATGGAGATCCCATGTGTTATAAAGTAGAACTGCTCCATAGGGCTTTCTTGGCTGGAATCTCTATGGAGGGAGCACTGTGGCTCATTATGTTAAGCACTGTACTGTGATTCACAAGGTTTGTGGTTTGAGCCCACCAACTGCTCCTTGGAGAAAGATGAGGCTTTATAGCCTTAGAAACCATATACAGAGTTTCTATGAGTCAGAACTGACTCAACAGAACTTAACAGTCTTTATGGAAGCAAATACCTTGTCTTCTTTTTCACTGTTGGGTAGTTTCAAATTGCCAACCTTTAGGTTAGTTGTTGTTTGTTATTATGTACTGTGGAGTTCATTCTGGCTCACAGTGGACCTGTCTAGGGCTTTCGAGGAGCAGCTGATGAGTTTGAACTGTTGACCTTGCTGTTGGGGTCCATTGCTTATCTTACAATGCCACACCAGGTTAGTAGATGAGCTCAAATCTTTTGTTACACCTGGGGACATTGAAACTTCAAAGGCCTTCACATAATTATTGTTGTAAAGTGCCATGGAGTTGGTTCTGACTCATAGTGACCCTGTATAGAGTTTCCGAGGAGTGGCTGGCAATTTGAACTGCTATCCTTGTGCTTCAAACTGACCTTGTGGTCCAGTGTTTATCTTACAGTGCCACACCAGGACTCCCACATGATTGGACTGAATCATTTTCATTTTAAATGTAACTCTGCTGTGTACTGTGAAATCCTTTATACTTGCATAGTATTGTACTGTTCTCAAACATTGTGTAATCTAAATAGGCCTCCCGCCACACAGTGCTCTTTAGATACAATATTTGCTTCCGATTTTAACTGTAGGTTTATATTCACAAATGCTGTATACATTTGTCTGACTTTGTGAGAATTTACTTGCCAAATTATTTTGACTATCATATATGTTATTTTTGTTAAGTGCAGCTGAGTCAGTTCTGACTCATAGCCATCCAATATAAGGTTTCCAAAGAGCAGGTGATGAGTTTGGACCACCAACCTGTGGTTAGCAGTCCAGTGATTGAACACACCAGGACATTAAATCATTTTATAAAACAAATGCATGAGAAGCATTTCAGTGTATCTGTTGGTAGATATGAATTTTATGATGCTTAACTTGTTCTTATGCTGTTTTGTTTTCAAACAGGCTAATAGCTCGTCAGCTTGCTAAAATTCATGCTATCCATGCACATAATGGCTGGATTCCCAAATCTAATCTGTGGTTAAAGATGGGAAAATATTTCTCTCTCATTCCCACAGGATTTACAAATGAAGATATTAATAAAAGGTAAAACGATTTTTACATTTGAAACTCTTTATTTTTCATATTGCTTTGCTCTATAGTAGGGTTTTAAAGACAACTACAAGGTTTCTGTGTATTAAATCTATCTTAGCTTATTGAGTTGTTTGACTCTCAGATAGCACTGTAGAAATAACTGTCTTTTTTCCCAACTTCACCCTTTCAATAAAAAAACAACAACAAACCTATTAAGAAACATGGAATAGAGCAAGGAACAAGTATAGAGCATTTATTTGAAAGTGAATGTAGTAGTTTAAGTAGTTCTATAAATGAACACATTTTGATTTGTCTGTGTTGGCTATATAGACCTTTTCTTCCCCCCGCTAAACCCATTTGACTAGGCGTTAAGATCAACATAATGATGTTGTTATTGTTAAGTGCCATTCAGTTCGCTCCATCTCATAGCAGCCCTGTATTGTGGTATGATAAAGTTTGAGCCACAGTTTAAATTCTAGACCAGGAAGTTGAAAATGCAATTACTTCAATCCTAATCAACTTTTGTACCCTGAACTTCCCTGGTTCAGATTGACTAAGGTATTTCATTATTTTCTCTACAAAAAATTATAGATTTGTATTCAGAATCTAAATTACATGAACATAGTGACTAGTACTGATAGAAAAATTGGAAATCCTATCTAAAGCATACCTGAAAGATGTATCTTTCTATTCAGGAAATCTTTGTTTCAAGAATAGAAGCAGTACCCTGTAGATTCCCTGTCTTCCCCCCCCCACCCCCGCCATTTGTTTCTTACTATATACATTAGTGGAAAATGCCTGCATTGTACCATTCATTGAGTTTGTTTCTAAAGTTAGTTTGGTTTACTCTGTCAAACTTTGAACTAGACATGGCTAATTATCCCCCTCAAACTGGATGGGCATGTGCTTCTGAAAAGATGTTTAGTGTGCTGAATATTACTGGACTCCGTTGGTGATTGAAACCCACCCGTAGCTCCTTATAAACTCTATACAGGGTTGCTATGAGTTGGAACGGACTCTACAGTACTTAATGACAACAACATCAGTATAAAACTAGGGAGTTCTTTTTTGAAATAGATATTTTATTGAAAGATTTTGTGGAAACGTGTAAGAAAAATAACAAAACAAATGTTGATTTTGAATGAAACATTCATTTTCTTGATTTTTTAAGACCATACAAAATTGACAGGCGTAAGTTGGAATTGAGTCAACCTGAATAGATTGGTTTTGTTTTTGTTTTTATAATATTGTATGGATCAAGAAGAGCATAAGACTATATTAAGATTGTCTGTTAACAAATCTCAGTATTGCAAATTACTAGGTTAGCTGTGTAAACTTGTGCAGGTTACTCTCTTACCTCATCTGTAAAATGATAATACCAAAATATTCACCTTATAAGGTTTTTATGAGGATTAATTGTGTGTATATAAATGCTAAATCCATTTTAGCTAATATTTTCATCATCTAAAGAGGGTTATTTAGGTAGGCTTCAGGTTATAGTTCCTAGACTTTTCAAGGTGGTACTTTGGAAAAGCTGGGAGATTCATTGTAGTAAACAACAGGAAGAAAAACATTCCCCCTGAAAATATACAGCTAGAGATATTTATGTTTACTTTCTTTCTTGCACTGTACATGGATTGTAATTGTTCTATTCATACGTAATCCTTTTAATCTTAAACTTTTCATTCAGTACCATCTGTATATGGTGAGGTTCTGTAACAGTCATACTGTTTTGAAAAGAGCATGTAAGAATTAGTCTTAGCAGCTAAGTGTAGGAAAGATCATAGCATATGGAAAAAACAGTAGAAACCACCTGAGTTGATAAATTCAGTGATATAAAAAGAATTTAGATTTAAGTATTGAAAAAAGAAAAAGTAAAGATTAATTTGAGAAAATCTGTGGAGAAAAACTCAAGAGAACTGGACTTACAATATTGAGGGAAGAAGAAAAAGAGTAAACTAACAGCAATTTTGTGTGCCTGATTGTGCTATTGAGAAATTAATGGTAGCAGCCCATTTTGTTTTATTTTTATTTAGTTAATAGAAATGTTAACAGTACCGAAGCATTTAGGACAGAATGTCACGATATCTCTAAGCCTGCTTGCCACTCTCCCTCCTTCTCCTTAGTTTTCGCTTCTATAAAATGGAAGAAATATGCAACTGTTTATTAAAATGTAAAACATTAACAATAGTGCTTAGTAAAGTTATCAGATACACATATTCCCCTCTCCCTCCACTTAAAAAATAATTTTGTAGTCATACATTTTATACTTTGTTGGCTGATCCTTAACTGTTGTTCACTTTCTTTTCATTCATGCTTAAGTTCATATAAATGATTTTCTTTGTTCTAACTTTTGGACTAATTGACCTATTGTTATGATTCAAGAGTATGTGCAGTGAAATGAAAAGCTTATTTAAAATAAATTTAAACTTCAGTCAAACTTGAAAAACATGTCTTTTAAACAGAATCTCTTTTTTTTTTTTTAAATGAAAAGGTTCTTAAGTGATATCCCAAGCCCTCAGATTCTTCAAGAAGAAATGACTTGGATGAAGGAGATTCTTTCCAATCTGGGCTCACCAGTTGTGCTTTGCCATAATGACCTATTGTGTAAGAATATAATCTACAATGAGAAACAAGGTAGGTATTTGACTTTAGCAGTAAGTAAAATTGATTTATGTTCTTAATGGTCTTTGAATTTAACTCAGATGTAAAGATTAAAAACATTTATAGTCTTTAAATGATTTTCCTTGAGGTTATAAAGTCATGATAGCTGTGATAAATTAGAAATAATATAGTCTGTATATGCTTAAAATGTATGTATTTTTTAGAAAGCTTGTGGTTTCTGTTAGATTTTAAAATGTAAAATGATAAAATGACTTTTTAAATGTAGCTATAAACTAATTTTATAGTTCACGGCTTGAGAATGGAATGCACCTGCTGGTAATGGGGGTTATTAAAAAACAAACTGATACTGCACTGTTGTATAAATACAGGACTTTTCTCACAATATAGGGAGGACACTATTAGGCCAGGTTTCCTTTCATGTGTTTATTATGCTGATTTGTTAGATATTTTGATGCTAAGGAGAAAGCTACATATAGAGGGAATGTTATTTGTAGTTGCTCAGATTTATATCTACTAAGGTAATATTTAAGAAGCAGCAGCTATGGTAAATAGTATTAACATTTTCTGGTAGATTGTGATACTGTGTTACTTTTTGGTGGAATGTTTTTTGTGATTGTTCACTGCTGTATTCAACTCTCGTCATATATAATAAGCACTTGGTTGTATGATGTCATTGGATAAAGTGGTTTGAGGTTTGGTTGCTACTTGATAGATGCCCTTCAATACTAAATTCATTAAAAATATAATTTTGGTTGAAGGATTAATAATAATTCAAAAGTATGTTGAATGTATGAAGCGATTGCATTATATACAGGAAACCAGTTTTGAAGAAAGTCATTATAGTTCATATTCAAATAGAAAGTGTACTGTTGTGAAGATACTAAAAGCCAGAGTTAAAATTAATGTGGTCATAATTATATTAACTTACTTTTTATGACCTTTTTTTATAAGATTATAAGTTGATAGTGTTTAATACAAAGTCTGTTAATATTTATAGCTGATTTTAACTTGAAGAAAACCCACCAAAGGAAGACTGTCAAGGGTTGTATCTTTATGCACATATCTTCAAAAATACATTTCAGTATCTTACTTTTGATATTTTAATGTGGATTAGAGATTCTATATTTCAAAAAATATACTGAGCATGCATCTTTATTTTTGAATTTTCTAAAAGTCCTTGTGGGGAATATATTTTTTTTCTTTTTAAAAACTTTAAGTTCATCCTTCAACAAAGTACTTGACAGTGTCCTGTAATGTATTAATATCCATTTATTATAAATAACTATTACAGAGTATCAGTACTATACTAGTTACTGTATACTAGTAACCAAATCTCAATGCCATTTGTAAGGTGAAAGAACTAGTTAAAGTAGTGTATTAGCTTTTAAAGTTCAGTGCAAGAACTAATAACATATTTTATATAAAGGAATTTTGAGTTAGGGACTTCATCTTACATTTGAAGTGGACACTCAGCTTTATTTTTAACTGCAAGTTGATCCAAGATGATATTATTTTCTTTGGGATATAATTTTAATGTTTCATATTTTTATTTTATAAGTTTCTTTTGCATATTCATTTCATAGATCAAACTTATTTATAAAACTAAAAATAAGGGACCAAAAAAATCAGATTACTCTTTTAGTTATTAAAAATACATTTTTATCTTTTTATTTAAACAATTACCTCTAACTATGCTAGTCTTCAGTAACATAAACATTTCCATAGTTTATGATAAAATCTTTATGCTTTATTTTAGATTTGGGAGTTCAAGGTTGTGATTTGTTTTAATTTATCAAAAGTTACTGACTTTTCCTTTTGCGTCTGATTCCCTCCTCTTCCCCAACACAAAGAATTTATAGCTCAACAAAACCATATGTTTTTGAGTCTGCCCTTTTCCATAGAAGACTGTTTTGTACCATTTATTATTTTGTGCTCCTTTGTGTGTTAGTTGTACAGCTGTTCTTCCCCCCACCCCCAACTCTTTCTAGTATTGGTTAGGAAGGCTAGATATGAAACCTGTGGCATCTATTTTCAAAAATAATAGATTCTTAAGTGACTAGTTGATATATAAGTACTAAGAAAATATCCAGTTGGAATGTTGTTCAGGTAAAATCTAAAACTCATAATTCATGAAAGTGTGAAGTGCTTATTTTAGACTTTAATATTAAATATTTCAAACTAGGAGCTGTTGGTTTTAAGATTTTATAAACATAGACTTATATAAATCTTTAGTTATTAGTAGAAGATACCATGCCTAATACTTAAAAAAAAAAAAAAATGAAAATTTCATAAAATTAGTACCTTGAATAAGCAAAAAAACATTGTATTTGTAATTACAACATTAATACTTTGTGGCAGCAATCTTAAAGGAGTTCATAAAAGTTAGAGATAGTAGGTATTATAAAGTTTGTACCTTCTTAACCTTGCTGTAGCATTCTAAAAATCTGAGATATTTGGGATTAAGATAATGTTCACAGAGGATAAATGATTAACCTATATATTATATTCTTAAGTATTTTTTATTACTATTGTTAAAACATTCATTTAACCTGAATTTGTGGCATTACCATTTTTTACGTAGTTTTATGAGATGTAAATACACACAAGTAAATATAAATGAAAGCTAAGGGATTAGCCTTCCTGCCATCAAGTCAAGCACAATACATATCTTTTATATGTTTCAGACCTTTAATTTCTCAGAATTATAAATTTTAGATGAACTTTATGAGGTTATATTACATCATCTTAAAGTCTCTGTTTATATTTTTAAACCTTAATAACTTAGATTTACATAGCAGAACTAGATTAAAAATCTGTAACTCTTAAAGCAGAGGTATTAGTGCTTAGTTACAACCAAGAGAAGTCAGGAAGAGTGCAAACTTTGGGACCAGTCTCAACCGGGGTCCAAATCTCTGCTCAGTCACTTAACAGAGGTAGGTGGTATTAGATGTCATTTTACTTCTTTGTAAAATGTTTGTGTTTGATCCTTGACAATCTGCTTCAAAATCAACAGGGTACTTGGTTGGCCATGGTGCAAATTTCTGGGCCTTATTTATGTATTATACTTTATATTAAGGTTGTGTGTACGAAGTATATAGCAGTGGTCCAGGTACTTGATCCTTTTCAGTTGGAGCTATTGTAATATGAGAGAGATTGGCAAACTTTCTGTAAAGGGACAGATGAGCTATATTATATTCAGTGAGCTGTATTATATAGTCTCTGTTGCAACTGTTCAGCCATGTTATATAACTGTAAAGCTAGCATAGATAACACATAAACAAAAAAGCATGAAAGCAAAAAAGCACATAAATTAAGTGTAGCTGTGATCCAATAAAATTGTATTTACAAAAACACGTGACAAGGCAAAATCTGAACTATTCAAGTCTTAGTTTGTCGAATCCTATATTAAGATTTACACCCTCGGAAACCCTGTACAGGGTCGCTATGGGTCGGACCCGACTCAACAGCACTTAACAACAACAACAAATATTGTGATTATAGGATATTTTGTACAAGATACATCTAATTCTGAAAAAATAATAGCAAATGGTTACTAATGCCAGAAAGCTAACTATGTCCTATGAGTAATGGAATATATGGTTCATAACTATGAGGTGACAATTCAGATTGTCTTTAGTACAACATAAGGTTTCTATCTTAAGGGTAACTTAAGCAATCACCTTAAAATGAAGTTTATATATGTATATAAAACTTAACGTGGAGTCCTTGTGTGGTGCCGTGGGTTAATGCACTAGACTGCAAAGTTGGTTTGAGTTGCAAGGTCGGTGGTTCAAGCTCACCAGTCACTCCTAGGAAACTCTATACAGGCTTGAAATCAACTTGATGGCACTTAACAACCACAACATACACATATATACATATTCACAAATCATGCTCTCTCATATACACACATTCACACAGGGACACAAATTTTATGAACATCCTGCTGTTTATTGGCATTTTACCCAGAATGCTTCTGGGACTGGTGGGCATCATGAAGAAATATTGCCTCTACTTGCTCTCACCTTGTCAGTTGACAGGACTCAAAAATGTGGGAGAAGAGGGAGATTCGTTTCTGAAGTTAGTTTGCAAAGTTAGTTCCAAGACTTAGACGGGTGGTTGGTAAAGAGCAGCCCATTCCGTGTCTTCAGTGAAATGACAACTTAAAAAGATAAATAAAGAATATTTAGTAATGTTAACATTTGATGCCACAATAAGAGAAACAAAAGCAGTGGTTCTTGCTCCAGACTGTAAGATAATACTTTCCAGTTTCATTTAAATTAACTAATTATTAATTTAATAAAGAACTTACACTACGTAGAACAAAATATAATATTGCTTATTGAATAACCTATCCCAAATCTAGTATGTTAGTTTTTAATTAAATCCTTTAATTCCTAACTTGTCAGAAGCAATTGCTGAAGCTTTTGAGATTGCTGTTTTATGTCTTCATCTGTTGTCAGATGTTTATTGGTCTGATTACTTTTAGTGGCTCTTTCATTAAATTCTCTTTCCCCAATTCTTCATAAAAAACTCACATAACGATCTAGTATATAACTTTAAATTTCATTATTAGAAATCACTGATTATTATCTGTGTCAGCAAAATATAAGAGGCTGATTTACACCTTTTTAAGGAAATACATATGAGTAGTAAGAAAAGAAAGATTTTTCTGGTAATTAATAGAATAAAATAGGCTTTTCTGTAGATTTTTTTCATTATAAATGGTAAATAGGTGAGTCATCACTTTTTGATTCCTTCATTAGCTCTCTAAATCTAATGTACTCTATTATTCATGAAAAAGGCATTGTTGTGGTTGTTTAATGACTTAGAACAGTTTTTTCATTAGTTTTATTTTTAAATCAAAATGAATACAAATTAATAGTATTTGGTAACCTCCATTGTCCAGGATGGAATTTTAATGAAGGATAATCTTAACACTGGAATCCTGGTATGTCACTTAGGGATTAGCACTGGAACAAAAGGTTGGTTTGAACCACAAGGTCGGCGGC